GGTGACAAATTAGTATTCCTTAACTAAACAGAGAAGAAGTTGCCTTGGCACCATTAGAATAACAAAAAGGGGAAAAACTGAAAAGGCATAAAGTACAGGGTAGAGAGCAGATGAGAGAAAAGATTAGGGGAAGGAGGCAGGAAAAGGGGACCAATCAATAACAGCACTACTGTATAAGTGAACTTCAAACTCAAGAAAACCAACATTGAAAGAGTGGTGAATCAAATACTTTCCACATAAGTATAACATTTTGGATACTGGTTTATCTTACATAGAAGACACAGTAGAATTAAATCTTTGCTTTTGCCAACTCCAGCAAAGTTTTTTGTTTTTTTTGGCAGCCTTCTAGAATACTCAGCAGTTTCACTGTTTGAATTTCTTAACAGATGAATCCAAAACTGGACATATTCCAACATTTTTGTAGCTGTTGGAACAGAACTGCTTTTCTGCTGCTGTGGTTAAGGTCAACTTGCTTTCTGGACTTTAAATCCCTACTGGGTTTATGGCACTCAAGTTTTTTTGACATGTTTCACAGATGATCAACAATGACAAATGGAAAGTACAAGGAAACAGCTTGTAGCATGAATCGGCATGCCATATGACTGACCTCAGAGGCAGGCAGCTGAGCAGATAGGTAGCAACACAAGTTAATAGGGATATTTAAGGAATTCATTTTGTGAATTCCAATGTGAACTGACTTGACTGGTACCTCCAGGTTTAAAGGGGAGATTGGATTACACTTCTCTGACTTTCACATTACAATTGCAAGCTCAAAGAAAATACCTGAATACAAATACATTTATATATATATATGTGTGTATGTGTGTGTGTGTGTATTTGTGAGAAAATATGTTCAAAATACATTTCTAGATAGTAATGTTTTGTGGATTTTCAAAATCAGATGATTAATATAGAAAGAAGATTGAATGGGTTGAAGAATGGACACATGATAAACTGCCATAGGCAGTAAGTAGGCTAAAATTTCTTAATTTCTAAATAAAAGCAAAGGCAAACTTGTTAATATTTCAAGGAATTATTTTAATTGCTTGAAGTACCTCTCTGAACATCTGTCATCAGCACTCACACAATGATCCTCATGGAAATATGCAGTAGTAATGTCACTGCTGTTATCCAACTTTAAATTGCATTTTATTTAATTGTACTAAGGATTAAGTTAGATTTCTCAGTTCTGAGATTGCAATTCCAGAATCTCCAGGGAGTTTTTGGATTTATAATTGCAGACAATGGTGGTGGTGATGGTATCAGGCTGGAGAACGCTGGATTAGGGCACTATTAACCTATTTTAATATAAATACTACTGTATTATTTCTTTTACTTGCTCCAAGCTAGGTACTGAAAACATAGTTTCTTTTTTTATTAGTTTTATTCATTTATAACATAAAATGCGAAAATACAAAAGCAAATAGTAGGGAACAACAGTAGAAAAAGGGAAATCAAAAAAGGTGTGAAGAAAGGGAGGGGAAGAAACAAAAGGCATTGACTTCCGACTCTCTCTGTTGCAGTAAAATCAGACATTAAAATCAAATCTCAACTTTTTAACATTTCTATAATAGTATGCACTAGCCATTTCTGTATCGGCAAGTCAATCTAATCGGTAAAACCCAAAATCATAATATCATTTCTTTCCACCTCAAGCACAAAGTCCAGAAGTGGTTTCCAAGTAGATGTACTTATGTTCTTTTCTTTTATAAGTACAGTCAATTTGGCCATCTCTGCTAATTCCATCAGCTTTTATAACCATTCGTCCATGGTAGTTGAGTTTCGTTGTTGTTGTTAGTTGCGAAGTTGTGTCCAACCCATCGCGACCCCATGGACAACGTTCCTCCAGGCTTTCCTGTCCTCTACCATCTTCTGAAGTCCATTTAAACTCATGCCTACTGCTTCAGTGACTCCATTCAGCCACCTCATTCTCTGTCGTCCCCTTCTTCTATTGCCCTCAATCTTTCCCAGCATTAGGCTCTTCTCCAGTGAGTCATTCCTTCTCATTAGGTGGCCAAAGTACTTGAGTTTCAACTTCAGGATCTGGCCTTCTAAAGAGCAGTCAGGGTTGATCTCCTCTAGGACTGACCGGTTTGATCGCCTTCCAGTCCAAGGGACTCGCAAGAGTCTTCTCCAGCACCATAGTTCAAAGGCCTAAATTCTTTTGCGCTCAGCCTTTCTTATGGTCCAACTTTCATAGCCATACATTGCAACTGGGAAAACCATGGCCTTGACTATACGTACTTTTGTTGGCAGGGTAATGTCTCTGCTTTTTAGTGTGCTGTCTAAGTTTCATACTTTCAAATGTTTAATTTTGCTCTGTGAAGGGGCTACTAATTTATTTCTTTGATTTCAACGAGTTCCACCATCTTTCTATTCTAATCAGCCTGCAGACTTTCCACTCAGTGAATATTTTTATAGTCCAGCTTTTTTTTTCCTTATAGAGATAATATAACTTAATCCTTTTCCCAAATGAGAACTTAAGTATACCAGGCAACTTACAATAAGCTCATAAAAGCAGTAAACAAATATTATACAAGGGTACAAATATATTTATTGAAAACACGTATTAACGTAATAGTTATCAAGTACAGCTTTTTGCTAAAAAGTATTTTACAATATATTGTATTATGTTTTTGATAATGCATATACTTGCAGTCATACATAAAGATTAAGTAGTTGTAATAGTAGGGATTATTTTAGGATGCAGAGTTCTATACTAAATAAATAAAAAAGCTTATATCTGAAAATGATTAGCAAGCATAAGTCTAAAAATAATAAAAAAACAAATTTAAAATATTGCCAGATTTTGCACTTTGTACAAAATTTAATTTAAACATTATTCTATCTTCCTATTCCATTTAGAAAACTTTATTTCACCCTTTTGCTTACATTTTTACAGGAATACATTTATTCCAAATTTGCTTGGATTCCATCCAACACAGAAGTCCTCTAATTACAGTCTTGCTGTGGTCAGAATATACAATAAAACTACATTTGAGAAGGAAAAGCATATACTGTTAAGCAAAGTTGACTTCCACCAAACTGCAACATGTATCTTTCCTTGAGGTGTTGACAGTTCCCGTTTAATTTTTCAAATGCCAGACTTTTCTAATTTTGTGGCAGAAAGCACAAGGTATTACAGAAGGTATTACTGCCTATCAATACAGTAATGCTAATTTATTCTTAATTCAAAAATTATATATTCACCTTAAATCCCAGCTTGTGATATATCCACAGTTCATATACAGTGGTACTTCAGTACTCGTTGTTAATTGATTCTGGTAAGTGTGATGAGTACCAAAGAGCAAGAAGATATGGGAATAGAAGAATAAGCCACTCATGACCTTAACATTTTTATCTCAAATGTGACCTTAACATTTTTATCTCAAATGTGATGCCAAATGGAGAACTTGAAAAAAGAATTTAGAGTGTTCCTACACAATACAAAGCAAAAAGGATTTTTTTTGCAACTAAAATTTCAAAGTAACAGCAACCCCAGTATGCCCTGCAAATTGAGCCCATGGGCTGTTTGTGGGTATGTTATGCAAATTCAGAAAAATTGAATTAATTGAATAAATTATGTTTAACTATGGAAAACAATCATATTTCCACTGCTTTCCCTCATTATTGCCGATCTGTCAGCATTGTAGGTTCTCAAAAGTGTTCAATACACTATTGTCATACTTTTGTGTACAATTGTTTATATTGCTTGTAAGCTTCTTTGGGAGGATTGTTATTCTTAAAGGCAAACTATAAATAACTGCAGTAAGTTAAACAGCCGAAAGCATATATGCAAACACAATCACTGAAATGGCTGAGGATGGCCATATCCTTTAAATAAATAAAAAAATCCGTTATTTCAGGGACAGGCAAGAAAACCTGATCATAGCTGCACAAATCCGAACGACCGCTAGATAACAGACGGAAACTCTCTTGGATGCGATTTATTGTTAATGCGGATTTGGTTAGGTTGGTTAGATCCAGAGATAAGCCACCTTATGAACCACCTGCATCCCGCCCAACGCCCAAAATGCAACAACAAAATTCCGTACTAATATCTTTGTAGATTAATTTAAAAAAACAACGGAAAGTATGTTTTGTGTTTGCCAGGTACCATTAATCACCATACCAGCCAATCACATTTTAACCTAGCATATTGCGTGAATCCAGTTCGACGTATCCTGTGCATGCAGTTAATTCTCTCTGCTTTTATCTGCGGTTCACGTGTCCCGAAGGTCTGAACAGAAAGCAGAGAAAAGCGCGAAAGCAACCTTTGACCTGCGAGTGCCACATTTCTTATTTTCATCCCGCCCGCGAAAGATGCTGGTGAAAACTCTAGCCATCGCTGGCCTCTCAGGACAACCTTTTCTTTTTAAATCTAGTGCGCATGCGCGAGCAGAAGCCCCCCCCCCCATCTTTCTTGTTTCACTTTGCTGTCGGTATCTTCGACCTCCTCCGACAACATTCAGCTCAAGCCTCGGCAGAGATATAGGCAAAACCCAAATGGCCCGAGGAGGTCTACTTGCCCACCTGATTACAGACAGATTCTCGGCCTCGCCGTATCCTACTGCGCAGGCGCTAAAGCGCGTGCGTCACCCCACGAGTAGTCCCTTCTTTTCAGCCTTTTTCCCCCAGCAGGCGCGGGAGATCAAGGGGACGAAAGAGAGGTGGCGTGCGCACGCGCGGCGGGCGCTCTCCCTTTGGTGGCCGTCTGGGGTAAGAGGTTGGCAGCGACAGCAGGACCGGCAGCAGGCCAGCGCGCGCTCGCAGCGGCCCCACTTGGCTTCTCACTCTCAGTTGGGCCAGGCGCGGCGCGCGCAGCCGCCGTCTCCTCCTCTTCTCCCTCCCTTTTCCAGTCTCTTCCTTCTGTCAGCGGGAGGTCGTCGCCTCCCCCTAGCTCTGTGCGCTCACTGGGCCTCCCCTTTCGCCACGATCTCCGCTGCCAGCGCTGCTGCTTCTTCTTCCACCTTTTCTTCTAATTTCTCCACCGTCTCGTCTTCCCGTGGCGCTGCCGCTGCGATGCCGGAAAAGCGGCCCTTCGAGCGGCTCCCGACCGAAGTGCGCCCCATCAATTATGGGTTGTGTCTCAAGCCCGACCTTATCGACTTCACCTTCGAGGGAAAACTCGAGGCCGCCGTAGAGGTAACGAGGGCTGAAAGAGAAGGGGGGAATGGGCGTGTCTATACGCGTAAAGGCATAGGTGACTGGAAGAGTGAGGGAGGCTACCTGCTGCTGTGTAGTGGAGAAGGGAGCAGGCCGGGAAGTGTGTATTGCTGGCTGGGTGGGTGGGTTAGGCAAAGGAGAGGACAGGCAAGATAGGGATCGGGGCATGTGCAAAGAAAGTGGCTTTTAGGGCCTCAGGCTGCAGGGTAAGTTTGAACGTTGGGAAAGCTGGGGCCCTTAGGTAGAAGTGTGAGCGGAGAAGGCTGTATGGGAGAGAGGCGGTGGTGATTAATTCTTGACTGAGGGGTGGTATGTGACTAAAAGTGTAGATAAGTAGGAAAGGAGAAGTTTTGGGGTGAGTAAATACGGACCAGAGATGTAGTTATTGATGGCACAGGGATAGGGGGCATCACTCTTAAAAACAGGCAGTGACCAAGGAGGGGTGGTGGCTGCAGTTCTTCTGAGATCTTGTAATATGTGTGTGTGTGTGTCTATGCACGTATGGGGGTGGACCTTTCTGAAGGAGGAAGAATCCCTGCCTGAAAGACAAGGAACTCGTTAGGATTGTGTTTGTATTTTGAAAACATTGCTCACATTTGTAGGCTTGAATGGAGATGAATTAGATGTAAGATATTTTTGTAAAATGGGGGAAGGGAAAGTTTATATCAAGTTTATTACTAAAAGTTTAAGCTTTGTGATTGTAGGTTTGGCTTAGGCTAGTTCTCTCTGGACTCCATTAAAAAGACTTTCGTGATATGGGGGTTAAATGAACCAAATTTACTTTTTAGAAAAGTACTTTTCTAAATCACATTTACTTTTTAGAAAAATACTATTATAAAAATACCTGTGACATGCCTTTTTAAGGTGTAGGACATTTGTGCACTCTGTCAAGTTTATACTGCACAGGTTATATGTCAGTGGCTGTCTGTATATATGTAGATTATATGTGTGCATCTATTCTCAATTATACCTCTTTTACTTAAGCACATGCATCCATATTTAGACTGTGCAGTCTCACATTTCCCACCCAGCTGTCTTTTTGGCCTGACTATTGATTTCCCATTGCTCTTAGAAGTACAAGCAGCACATCTAGGTAAAATTGTTTGCATTGAGGATGACTAGAGTCCTGGGAATCTGATTGGAAATTATCGGCACTCAGTAGAGAACCATTGGTGCAAGTAGGGTAAATGAAAAATTAGTTTCTGTTTCAGCAATTCTACTCAAGTTAGTTATTTTTCTGCTAATATTGACTTAGTGGTCTTGAACCAAGAAAAAGCAATGAGATGTTTTCTATTCTCCCAACAAACCATTGCAGATTGTTGGTGTCCTGCTTCCATTATTAACTGGTTCTCCAGCCAGCTGATTAGCTGGCATGCTTGGGAAAGAAAGGGTAGGAATATCTAGTGGGAAATGAGCAATCAGCTGGTTCTTAGGGAAAATGAGGGGGACTGCCCATAATTTCAAAGCTAAGATTATAAAGGAGAATGATATGATATAAAAGAACATATTTTTCTCAGAAATTTATTTTCTTTTAATTTTAATGTTCTTTTAAAGTCCTGTGCTTGGAACAAACTCTTTCCTACTGCCTTAGATTTGTAGGTAAAATCCTTTAACATATGATGGAATGAGATTTATTGATTCTCATCAAGTTGTGACTGATACATTACATAGGAAACATTAAATACCAAAAACTCTCAAAAGATGACTTAAAAATTTCTCAAGAAATTGGAATATTTCTTATTTTCATAAGATTTGGTAACACAAAATATAATTCAAATAAGGATGTAATTTGTTAGCTTTGTGGATGTAGATCGCCTGCCTATTAAGAATGAGGGACAGTGACTCTCCCTGTTAAAAAAGAGAGTCAGTACTTTTCCTTCGGATTCATATTTTCATGCCATGCATTAATTCCCCACGTATCTCATAAATGATATCAGATTGCTTCGGATAGAAGTATTTGTTAAAATCCATTTTTAATTAAGGCAAGGGTTAACAGATTATAAATTGGGATTCTTCTGGGGAGTTGCAAACATCTTGGGGATCGATTGCATGTTTTAAAAAAAGATTCCTAAGAGGTCAAAGGGAGAACACTGTTAACTTACTGTGGAATTTGTTCACTTTGTGAGCCTAAGTGTGCAAAAAGACTGTTGTGGTGCTAGAAAGTTTGAAAACTGCTGGAATTTAAAGATTACTGTTTAAATTGATATATGTATTTCTTACACAGCCTTAACCTCCATGAAATTATTAGTTCTGTTTTTGTTAAGAAATTATGCTAATTCTAATATTTTAGAAGTATGATTTCATAAAATTTGAAAACATCTATCCTAAGATAGCTTGTATCTTATCTAGTATTTAACAGTCCTACAGGATTCTTTAAAATATTTGAGATTGAATTTATGCATCATGCTATGCCATATTTCAGTGATGGCGAACCTTTTAGAGACCGAATGCCCAAACTGCAACCCAAAACCCACTTATTTATTGCCGGGTGCCAGGTGGGCGTGGCCCACTGGGTGGGCAGGGCTGTGGTGGTCATGACAGATTGGGTGGGTGTGGCCAAGGTGGGCATGGTCACCTCAGTGTTGCTTGTTAGGAGGGATGCCTGTGGGTGTGGGCACGGTTGGGGGAGATCCATGGGGTCTCTGGCAGGTGGAGCGGTAGGCAGGAGGCTCGTCCTGCAGGGTGAGGCAGGATGGGGGTGCCATTGCCATGGGGCAAGGCAGGGACCGGGGCGGCTGCTGCCTGACACCATCGGCCCCCGCATACAGAGGCCAGTGAGCGCATGGGGCCCGACGGTGTCCATCAGCAGCCACAGCCTGCCGGCCCCTCGACCGGCGCACTCTGGGGCTCCGCAGCTTGCCGCCAGCAGTTCAAAGAAGCCGCCTCTGAGCTGTATGGCCGGCTGACAGCTGAGGAGGCGATGCAATGGGTCATGCCCGGGAAAAGTAGAGCATGCGAGGCCAGGAGGGACGGGACAGGACGGGACGGGGGGAGGGAAACCAGCCGTGCCAGGATGCATCCGGCCATGTGGGACCTCGGTGAGTTAGCAGGCAGCTGGTTGAAGAGGGACAGTTGCCATCTCCAGGGCATGGCGCGCGTGCCCACAGAGAGGGCTCTGAGTGCCGCCTCTGGCACGTGTGCCATAGGTTCGCCACCACAGCCATATTTCATAGATCAAAAAAGGCAAAAGTTAAGAGAAAAGAACAATTTTATAAAAACTTGCATCCCTGTGGATATCTTAATGAGGCACAAAACCAGATCAAAGATAAAATAGAAAATCAGAACCAAATTATTTGTTACGCACATTATACTGATCCATAATTACAACTGATATCTTAACAAGCCAGGTTTTCAAACTGGCTTATCACCTTAAAACCATAATTCAGAAGTCCTATTTGCACATTAGGCTGAACCCAAACCAAACAAACCATACATAGCTTAATGCATGACAGACTAATCATGACAGACTAATCATGGTTTCCTGAATTAACCCAAATACTGAATTAATTGAATTGCAATCCTTTATAATACAGTAGTCTATAAATTAACTTCATAGGCAGGAGTAGTATGTCACACTACTGTACTTCAGACTACATATAACTATTTCATACTACATGTCATAACTATTCAAAATGCTTCAATACTAGGAAATTTCTGAAGACCAGGCAGTAAGAATTAGATGACTCAAACTTGGTAGCAGTGTTCAAATATTTGAGAGGCTGCCACAAAGAGGAGGGAGTCAATTTATTTTCCAAAGCACCAGAATGCAAGACAAGAAACAATGAATGGAAACTAATCAAGGAACCTGGAATTAAGGAGAAATTTCCTAACAGTGAGGACAATTAACCAGTGGAACATCTTCATCACTGAAAGTTTTTAAGAAGAGACTGGACAGTCACTTGTCTGAAATGGTAAAGGGCCTCCTCCTTAAGCAGGAAGTTGACTAGAAGACTCCAAAGTCGCTTCCAGCTCTGTTCTGATTGATTGATTGGCTACAATGTCCTATTTGTTGTCTGACACCTTTAAAAATGCTGATAGTTTCACTGTGCTAAAAATACAATATAAGATATTAAATTTGGCAAAAATTATCCAATGTACTGAGTACTATGATGTAGAGTTGGTAATAGTTATTGCAACTTTAAATATAATGCAACTTAGTATGCACAGAATCGCTTTATGGAAAAAATATGTTTTCCAGACATTATGTGAATTAAACCTATTTAGATAAGAGCAATCTCACAATGACATCCAGACATTTTTTTGTATATTATGGAGGAAAAGGAGATATTTTTGCGGGCACTCCTTTTTCATATAAATTAAGAGAAAGGAGTGATACTCCAACTAAGAATGCCATGCATGCTTCCAGTTTAAGTACAGTTTGCATGTTAAAGTCAGGTAGAAGGAAAGAAGAAATAGGTTTTCAAATGCAATATCGTAGTAAGGGAGATTATTTATAAATGACAGTTAAGTTGGGTTAGAATTAAGATTAGGGTTTCCTTTGCCTCTTGCTTTATATCAGGGATCTTCAAACTTGGCCCTTTTATGACTTATGGACTTTAACTCCCAGAATTCCTCAGCCAGGCACGCTGGCTGAAGAATTCTGGAAGTTGAAGTCCACAAGTCATAAAAGGGTCAAGTTTGAAGACCCCTGCTTTATATGGTGTAACTGATTTTGAATACAAAATAGAAAACAGTTTATTTAGTGTATGTTCAAAGTTACAATAGGACTGAAAAAAGTGACTTATGATTGTTTTTCACACTTACAACCATTGCAGCATCCCCATGCTCAAGTAATCAAAATTAAGATGCTTGACAACTGACTCATATTTATGACAGTTGCAGTGTTGTGGGGGCATGTCCCTTTTGAGACCTCTAACAAGTAAAGTCAATGGAAGAATCAGATTTACTTAACCATGTTACTAACTTAATAAATGTAATGATTCACTTAACAACTATGACAAGAAAGGTCATAAAATGGG